AGAGAGAGAGAGAGAGAGAGAGAGAGAGAGAGAGAGAGAGAGAGAGACTTTTTTCGGTGGTAACTAAGTTGTGAATTTCATGACAATGCGAACCAATTGAATTTGAGCTTTTTTTCGCAAATGGCCAAACCATTCGGTGGTTTTGTCGTCGTCGAAACGCTAATTTCAATTCGTACATGTTACGCAGTAACTATGGAATTGGAAATAGGTTTTTCGCCAAATGGAAACGCGAAAAAAAACTTTCTTCCCATCGACAAACCGGCACACACTCATGCGCACAATCGCAAAATAAGACGAAGAAGAAGAAAATAAAAATGAATTTGTTTCTTTGGGCGAGCTAATTGTAAACACTTCATCAACTCGCGTACGTGGCGATCAATTGTTGTTTAACACATTAATCACTGTTTATATATTTCTTTTTCTGCGTATTTTCTTTCTACTTCTTTTTCTTCTTCTTCTCATTTCTGCCCGACCGGGAAAATGTGTAGATTAGATTATAAAAAGAACTAATTAATGGATTTAGTGGCTACCGACTTGTTTGAGCTGCCGTCGCGGTTTTTCTTTTCACTTCACGTAATTCGCTCATTCAATTCGCTCGCGTTTATGTCGAACATGTTTTTCGAGCTCTTTGCTTTTCCAATTGGTTTTTTCCCTTTCTTTACTCGTTTCTTTTTGTTCAGTTCAACGGATTATGTTCGGCGCTTTTTTTTCGATTGATCGATCGGTTGGTTGGTTGGTTGTCTACTTTAGTCCAATGTTGCCAAAAATATAGCCGTTACAAGACCGATTTGTACATAATACTGTCCAAAATTGCATATTCTAAGTCAGCTTTGTTTTCGCAAGCGATTGACTCGATCGCTGTTTTTTTCCCGGCCACTGACTTACTTTGCTGATCTAGCTCGACACATGTGCTGCGATTGGCGATTACAACTCGTATTGAGATCTTTTCACGTGCATTCTGATTTTCATTCGCCTTGAAATGGCAACTGATCATACGCACACACTTAAACAAACGAAAAAAAAATATAAGAAAATTACCAGCAATGAGATCACCTTCATTAAAATATACTCAATCAGATCCAAATCGGATGGAAATAATTGGCCAAAGCGAGCTGCAGCTCAAACAAAAGCAACGCACATATTAAATTTCTAAAATGATCGGACTGACAGATAGTCATGGAGAAAAATGAAATTTAAATATGAGTTTTCCATCATCTGAAAAGACTTTTTTGTTGCCATTTTCATTCGCACTCTCGCTCCAAATCGCTCTTTTGCTCTGTCTCAGCTTCGAATGACTTTTTGTGTCCATCTGTAACAATTCAAATCGTCTCGAGTAGAGCTGTTATACGATTGGATTGGTGTATAAAAGCGGAAAATTGATCGGTCAAAGTGAAAATGTGAAATGCACAATTGAAACGCAATTTGCAAGAAATGAAACATAAATCAGATTTAGTCGGCACACATTTAGATAGAAAATCATATGGATTACTGAGTGTTTCTATTTTTTTGTTTTTTTTTTCGACGTTGTTGTTGTTGTTGTTGTTGTTGTTGTTGTTGTTGTTGTTGTTGAATTAGTGCAGAATAATTAACAGCAATATTCAAGCGAACGAGAGCTGCGTTGCGATATAGCAAAATGCGCTTTTACTATTTTTTACAATATTATTGCCATTACAAACTGTAGCACAAACAAATTGGATATATCGTTCGTCGAAATGGCACAAAGAAACGCAGCGAGTAAGAGCAGCAGCAGCCGTAGCACGAACGAAAAAAAAGATCGGAGAAAATTGCATAGTCGAATGGAATAAAAACAAAATCTAATATACAAAACCCATGGAATTGGATATTAAATCAGTGGCACACGAGATTCGAAATTCGTAGCAATGAATTATAATTCTGAGATTGGGCTGACTGTAGCAGCCACGTTATTTCTTTTTTTCTTTCTGTTGTTTTTTTTGGCCGCTTCTCTTTTGTTTTCGTGTGTGTCTATCTTTTTTTCTCCATATTTTTATACATTTCGGCGACGAATATATATATATGCGCGAACGCGCACACACCGTCATCCGCTTGCATGGCATTGGCATAGCTGCGCGCACATGAAGAAAGCATTCGGCGTCACTTTCACTTTAATTTCGACTCGACCCAACGAACAAAGGTAATTTTGTATGCTTTTCGATTTTGAACTTTGAAGTTTTTGTTTCTTTCTGCGCAATTTCTTTCTTTTGTGGTCGCACTAGTCGAACGATGAACGACGAAAAGCGATACTTTGTAAATACACGGTGTTCAATATACACTTAAATTACCGTGCACTTTCGCAATGAATAAACCGAGCGAGCGAGAGAGCGAGAGAAAACATGAAAACAAAACAATAACAGCCAGCCAGACAGAAAAAAAAACTCACTGAAAATAAAGATGATAAATGCGCCGATGGACATTTCTTTGGATCAACTGAAGATGCATCACATTTCTTTCAATCTCTCTGTCCCTCCGGTTTCAATACGCGGCCCAGAGAGAGTGTGTTGTTCTTTTGTGTCTTGATCTCGCGCACGAGATTTACTTTCAGTTTGATTATTCAATTTGATTGAGTATGATCGTTCGTTGCTGTTGCTTTATTTATTTCGTGCATCGTTGCTTAAAGATGTGCCAGCCTCATCTCTTCCATTGCCATCATCTCAAGAGAGAGGTTGTGCCGTTGTACCGAAAATTGCACAAAGACCAAGTTCACTAAACTGTGTGTGAGGCGCGGTTCGGTTTTAAATGCGACTCACTTCGAAGCGAAGAGCCAAAAATGCCATTTGCACAAAAGATCAAGTTTCTATTTATGGTATGATTTCAATCAATTATACGGAAATGCGTGAATGACTGGCTGTAAAACCGACTATAGATTACAACTTTTTTTTTCTGTATTATTTTTTTGTTTTGTTTCTCTCTCATTTTCCAAATCATCATGGTTTTTGCAACACGATCATTTCATGTTGCTTCAATTTGATATTTTGCTCCATTCATTTCACACATGTTTTTTTCGATTGTTTCGATTTTATTTTTTCGACATTTTCGAATGCGTCATTGGATCGAAGCCGAGCCACAGTTGTGTCTCCATCGTTTTCATTTCATTTGATTTAATCACGCATAATTCACTCCATACTGGATTCACTTCATACTCGATTTATGAAGAGGCGGCTAAACGAAAGTGCGATCTTTTTAATTGCATGCAACTCTTCGCTCGTTGATTTTTGAACTAGAAAAAAAACACAGCATCCAATTAAAAAGCTACATTAAAAAATTGATTTAAAATTTAATGCAAAAAACAGCGCATTACTTGATTAGTGAATGGCGGGAACAACGGAGCATATTGTATTCCACATTTCTTTTGAAATTTTAACTTCAAGACGCGTCGCATTCTCGACACGCGTCTGATTAACATATATTCTGCAATCATGCATACATAAAGCAATGGGAATGCAGCAAATGTGCGCGGCATTCGTGCAAAGTTGAAAGTGCATTTTTTTTACTCACATTCCACGCAAGTCAAGACGAACATATTTTCTTCGTTTTAGAATGAAGTGTGAACCGTACTTCCGTGAAGGTTGTATTGGCGTAGTAATCCATTTTTTCAGACTTGCTTGAATCAAGCAGCTTGAGTTCCATTTCGACAAATTCCGTGCGACTTTATCTCCTGATCTAAAAAAGTGCAAAGTTCAATTCGGAGCAGAGACTGAGTGACGTTTTTCCAAATAACTCACATAACGAAAATAGAACAATGCCAAATAAAAATAGCGCAACCTTGATGCAGGATCCAATCAGCCCGAGGAAATAAAAAAAACACACTCACACACATGGTTTTGATTCAACGAAATAGAACGTGCATAAATTAGTTATGGTTAAATGTGAGCGCGCTACAGTCACAGCAATTTTTTAATGAGCCACTTGAACAACCAACGAGAAAAAAAAACAGTATTCACTCATTTAGATTTGTCGACATAAAAACTTCCAAATATTTAATCAAATGTTATTGTGTGAAGCGTAAATTGCTACGATTTTATCATCAAAACGTAGTATTTTGGTGTCGATTAAAAGAAAAAAATAATCAAACCAATCTCGCAATAAAAAACGCCCGAAAAAGTGACGTGGAAAAAGAATTAATTGCTGAAATCTTTATTATCGTTTCCATTTCCTTGTTTTCATTTGGTGGCTGGAAATTCCAGCTTGGAATGAGGTCGATCGGATTTTATGCTATTAATCACCATCATCAACTAATTATAATTGCTTCAATAACAGAGCATCGAAACCTTTTTTTCTCCTCTGATCTTCTCTCTTTGAGATCAAAGAAGAGGAAAAAAAACCGTTTAGCAGCAGTAAGAAGAAGAAGAAATAAAACAATCTTAACTGAACCAAAATTAGCATACATCGATTTGATAGCAGCCGGTTATGGCTGTGAACTTTATATGTGGATGTGTCGGCGGATTAGAAATCACGTGCATTTGAAATCGTTGTGCAGCGCTTGCGGTTGGATATTCCACCATCTGAGTGTATGTGTGTGTGTTGGTCGGTTTATGGTGTATGAATTTGGACATTTGTTGTGGCGATGTGATTATACGGATGGATCAATGCTTTTGCTTGGAATTGTTGCGAACACTGTATCGCAATGGAAAATTTCATAGGAAAAAAAGCGATTAGACATCATTTTTGAATTGATGATCTTTTAACATTTCAACATGGTAGGTTGGTTTTTTTTTGTCGTCGTTGTTGCTTCTCCTCTCTGTGCGTTTGGTTCGACTAGATTTGCGGCCACTCACAAAAAAAACCAACATCTGAACAGAAGAGAGAAGAGAGAAAAAAAACTGTACAAATGCTAGCACATGCAAACACGTTCGACTCATAAAATAAGTAACTATTTTTTTTTTGTTGCCGTGCTCGACATGCGTTATTTATGGCTTGACCGTTGTGTTTTGTGTGTGCGATATTATTGCATGTTTTGCTGGATATGGCGTCATCGTTTATAGTTTTGCATGTCATAAATTCCAATTTTTCTTTCATTTTTTTTCGTTTGTTTTTTATTTTCGAGTGTGTGCATTCACAGCCACCTCTTGTCCAGCAAAGTGCACTGATTCAGAGTGTCGTTCACCTTTTACACTGATTTCACTTTAAAAAAATCATCAACCACGTCAAACGCACTTTAAATGCCTGTGTGTCATGAAAGTGGTGTACTCCGCTCATTCATTTGGAAGTGGCAACCGTATGTAGAAATGAAATGCACATTTCTATAAATAACATTTTACGCGGGCATCATCAAGTAATTCACATATATGGTGGGCATGGACACCGTTTACAACCCAAAACAATGTAAATCAAATGGGAAAAGCATTTTCGATCATAAATGTCAATTGTATTCGTACTTTCATTGCATCGTCGTGATGTCATTTTGGGTTTGTCAAATAGAAACTCGATACATGATTGTGATCTTCTGATGAGATCTGCCCATTTCTCTTCAATTGATTGAAATTCAAAGACAATTTGAAATTAAACCCAAAATAGATTATTCATAATGTATTTGACAGGTTATGAACGAAAAAAATATAAATGAATGGCAAAGTGGAATAAAATGATCGATAATATCGATTTCAATTTCCAATTTGACTTAAAGGCATTTCAATCTGATCACACAATTTATCCATAACTATGATTAATGCGTAATGCGAGAAGGAAAAAACAGAATGAATTGAAATGCACGAAAAAAAGAACACACACATATGCATGTTGGCTATTTTGGAGTCTGTACACATTGGGCCCAATAATTTTATTTTCAAGTGAAAACATTGAACGGTTCTCGATTTCATAGCAACCAAGGTGTGAAATGAAATAGTTGAAAGAAAAAAAAGTGAACACGATGCAATAGACACGGACATAGACAGACAGCCGAAGCAACAAAAAAAAACCAAACTACATTACAAGTATGAACACAAGCGTCGAATGTACGATTATTCAATGAAAGAAATTGTTAAGAAAGATGAAAAGAGAAGAAAAAAAACAGCGCGAAACATACTTTTTTCATTCGTCCAAAAGATAGTCGAAAAATGAAACAAAGTGAAGAAAGAAAAAGAATTATATATATGTATAGGAAAATCGAATTACAAAACAACGCTCAATTTGAAAAAATTACATAAAAATATATTGAACTCTTCTCTCGTGTTCACATCGATCTAATGAAGAAAAAAAAAACAACCAAATATGTTTTTACTATGGCAAAAGCCGATTTATGTGTTTTTTCCCGTTTTATTTGCGCACGCTGCCGCTGCTGCGCATACATGAGTGTGAACGCACATCATTCAATACGAACCGTATGCTGTTTTTTTCTTCTTCACTCATATTCTCTTTTCCATATGATTTTTTTCGTTGTTGTTGTTGCCCATTCGTTCGCTTCGTTCATTCATTTCGTTTGATTTGTTCGGCTCGAAGCTAGTGTGTGCAACATGTGCGGTAACTTGTTGATTAAATGTGTGTATGCAGGCAATCATTCGCAATCACAAAGCGATGTGAATTGAATAAAATATTTCATTTATCAGCCATTTCTATGTTTTATAACCAATTCATAAAAGAAACACGTTTACACACATTCAAACCAAACAATCAATTGCATCATTTTCTTTCCTTTTTACGATCGTTTACATTACAATTTTCTTTTTTCCATATTTCTGTTGATTTCTTTCGATTATTGCCGTTGCTGCTTTTTTTTCAATTAGGAAGATGAAGTGGCAAATTTTTATGCGGCACATCGAATGACTCAACTCCAATGAATAACGGTTATAATGAATCAAAAATTTATTCGAGTTGAAATGTATCTCGAATATTGCGCATCAATAATAATTGTTTTTTTTTAGAAACACACAAAAAACAGCTGCAAGCGACGAGAAATGTGCAAGACTCGAAAAGTCCCCAAAAAGTGAAATTAATCAGTACTTCCACGGCTTGCATTCTCAAATCAAAAATAACAGACACACACATATTATCCGGCTGATGGATGTCATCCATCAAAATTGATGAAAAATCAAAGAAATATGACGAAAAAATATACAAAAATAAACACTTGTTCCCAGACTGGTAATGGTCCAGAAAGTCAATTATCCTGTTCAAATTACCGCTAAATGTGAAAATTATCCATTTTTCTTTTGTTGTGTATGTTCCTGTTGTGTGTCGTGCAAGCATGCATAGGTTGCTCTTTCTCTTTCTCTCTCTCTCTCTCTCTCTCTCTCTCTCTCTCTCTCTCTCTCTCTCTCTCTCTCTCTCTCTCTCAAACACACACAGAACCACATGACATTGATGACATTCAACAAAAAAATGTAGTAAAATCCGCGTATTGCGATGATGATTCGCCCTTTGATAGTGGAACAAAAATGTTGATTATCCAATCACATTGCCCAAAATAAACACATGCAATGCACATTGTTACCGGGTTCATTCGCTGTGCTAATGTTGTTATTGTTTCGAAAATTGCTCTTCTGACTATCCAGATATAATGTGGATTCAATCAAGCGCTGTGTGTAAGAGATGATTGCTGCTGCTGTTTTTTTCATCATTATTTGATCGAAATCTCTTATCACTGAATGGATCGGCAATGAATTGCACAAAAAAAACCGATAGGCGAAATGTGAGTATGGCGGTTTTGTTGAGCGAATAATAATAATCGCACAGGCATTATTATTAGCTTCATCGAGGCGTAAATGACAAACAATCCAACCCGATTGTGTATGACCCAAAGTCGAATTGTGATCTTGTGGTCATGCTATTTACTTTAGCCTCTGCCAAGCGTCCTACTCTCACGCGCACACGCTGTTTGCGATATTCGAAGTTATCGCGATTGATTTTTTTTTCTTCTGTCGCTGTGCTCTGTTGCTCTCTGTACTTCTATTATCATGTCCGCATACACATCGTTTCACCCGAAAACCAAATCCAGAGTAAGATATGGGTAAATGAAACTTAGTTTTCGAAAATAGCAAACGCAACCGGAATAATTATTATTAATTAGCATTAGCAATTATAACCCGTCACATTTGTATTTTATTCCATCATTTTATGCGAGTTTTTTTTCGGCCAGTTTTGTGTTTAGTTAACAATTTTGTTTTCTTTCATTTTCGATGTTGTTTCGCGCTTGTATAATTTCATCAGAATCACCTGGAGATATCTCCAAATCATCTCTCAGACCATCATAAATGCCATTCGACGCTTTATTTTGCTTTGTTACAGCTTTTGTGTGTGTGTGTGTGTGTGTGTGTGTGTGTGTGTGTGTGTGAGGCGCGTGACAAAGCAAACAAAGCGCAAATGAATCTCTGTGAGCCCCAGACCACGATCCAAACAACAAGTGAAGAGAAAATCTACAACAAAAAACCTCCGAAAAAAAGCTGTTGCGACGGAGAGCAACAAGACATTATATGTTTGTTTTTTTTTGGCAAAGAGACGAAGAAGTCACTCAAGCTTATTTACTTGTTCGGGTTTTTTCCTTGTTTACCAGGCGGCTTTTCATTACCTGTTTCATGCGGAGATGAGACTTTGGATGCGGTTTTTTGTTTGGAATGACTGAATAAACAGTATTCATTAAATTTGCCGCCATTCACAACATACAAAGAAAAAAAACCGACGACCATTTACGTCATTTCCATTTACTTTGCGATTTGAACGTTTCTAAAATTAATCAACGTGTTAAAGACAAGATCTTCGACATCAATTGGAATTGTATTTGAAAGATCTGCGACATTTATCAGGTGCTTGAATGAAACGTTAAGGTCATAATATCAACCAAACAGCTTACTTTTTTTTTTATCTCGGTTCTAAAATAGAAATTCTATTCTTTTCCAGCGAATTCTTTTGTTCGATTGAGCATGCACGAATCGAGTTTTGAAAACATGAATTTGTACCACATTGCTTCATGTCTTGTCCTTCGATTCATCGATTGCGGTCTGTTTCCGTTTGTTTGCATAAATTAGCTGTTCATTTGCAATGGACCTACTTCATCAAGTCGGACAGCGAACAGTACCACTCTCTCTCTCTCTCTCTCTCTCTCTCTCTCTCTCTCTCTCTCTCTCTTTCGCTTTATTGGAAAAAAACCCAAATGGACCAAAACAAAACAAAACCGAAAATAAACGATGCTTAAAACAGAATTCAGCTGTTGTTTTATTTATACAGTTGGTGTCATCATTTGAAATGTATCGAATTTTTTGCTCCAGCCATTGATATATCGCCAATTCACTGGAGAAAAATGTCTATTTCAAAATTCGATTGGTGTTAATTTGAAAGGTACTGTGCGAATAAGAGTTGTTGCGTTTTCATTTCGACTTTGACCCGTTAAAAGCAATGAATGAACAACGTTTTGGTACAAAACGAAACAAAAAGATAGACAAACCACGGTAAACAGATTTTTAGATTTGGTACATGTTTGCGTGCGTGCAAATGTGGATATGTGTGTATAAAAAATGCGGCAAACATATTTGATGAAAATGAGAGAGAACAAATGAGCTACACGGATAAAGAGAATGAAGAGAAGAAGAAAAACACGCACCAGCAAAATAATATAATAGTCATCAAGTCACGCGCGCCTTGTACTCGAACATACGGCAAATAATTAGGTACATGTCATCAGCACCGCCCGGAAATAGTGCTGGTAAACCATAACATGTAAAAAATAGTGCTCGAATAGTGCTGTCGATTGCAATTGGTCCCATGAATAGTGCTGTTCGGAGACGCTAGCACTATTCGTCGGAAGTTGAAAAATCGATTTTTCAGTACTTTTGTATGGGAGGTATGTGAAATATTAATTTTTTCTATACAAATGATACGTCAAAAAATAGTGCTGGAATAGTGCTGGCGAATGGCGTTTTCAGATTTCAAAAATGTTGCCTGGGGGCCGAGCACTATTCGTAGAAAGTGGGAAAAAGTCGATTTTTCAGTACTTTTGTATGGGAGGTATGTGAAATATTGATTTTTTCTATACAAATGATACGTCAAAAAATAGTGCTGGAATAGTGCTAGCGAATGGCGTTTTCAGATTTCAAAAATGTTGCCTGGAGGCCGAGCACTATTCGTAGAAAGTGGGAAAAAGTCGATTTTTCAGTACTTTTGTATGGGAGGTATGTGAAATTTTAATTTTTTCTACACAAATGATACGTCAAAAAATAGTGCTGGAATAGTGCTGGCAAATGGCGTTTTCAGATTTCAAAAATGTTGCCTGGGGGCCGAGCACTATTCGTCGATTTTTCGGTACATTTCCATGGCAAGTGTCCGAAATCGATTTTTTCGTATGATTACTGGCTCTATGACTCCTGTTCGGAAAAGTGGAACAGTATAGTACAATTGAGTCATGAAGGGAGTCACAATATGAGTCATAATCAGAGTCATTCATTTGTCCAAAGTGATTCAAACTTGATGTGACTCACTCTTCATGAGTCATAAGAAACGAGTTAGATTCTGACTCCATTTTGAAGGCATGATGAGTCAGTCGAGTCAATGAACCAGAATTGATACATTGAACGTTCGGAAATCTTAATCGTTTAAAGAACTTAAGCTATTTTCCAAAAACAAACTACACAAGGTTTCTGAACGTTCATTGTATGACTCATTGATTGCGTGAGTGTGTCAGAAAGTCATGACTTTCTGTTTCACGCACCAATACTGTATGTATACTCGAATTTCTGCTCGTCACTGAATCCTGGTGCGAACAGAATTTTGAGGAAAATTGGAGAAAACTGATTTTCTAGAGAAAACTATCAATTGTAATTTTTTTCAAGTCGATTCATGATTTTAGTTATTTGTGATGTTTTGTTAGTTATTTGGTAGGTTGATAAAAATATTTATGTGAATGAGCTTTAAAAAAAGGGAAACCTGCTTTTTCAGATAAATCAAATAGAAATCTAATAAAATAAAATAAAATCAAAAAACTTGTTGGAAATTCGATCAAATTTATGCCTTAAATGTCAAATCAGTACAATCGGTAGATGAACGCACCCCAAATAACCATAACCATAAGAAATACATTGAAAAAAGTTAGGAACGCAATCTTAGGGCAAAGTTTCCGACAAGTTCTTTCTCAGAAGTCACCAACTTTTATGTGTGCGTGAGTTGAATGTAGCGACTAACGTATTACACATTATAACGTAGGTGTATTTGTAATACACTAGCGTAAATGCAGCAATCTCTGTGTTACCGTATGCAACATTGGGCAATACCGACACACGTATACACGCACATATACGGTATTACGGACTTTGACACATTTTTTGAACGGAGTTAGTTTGAGTAGCATTGATGGAGATGACGATTATACTGTCTTTCGTGTCCATTCTTCTTGGTTTCCTTTCTACGAATAGTGCTCGGCCTCCAGGCAACATTTTTGAAATCTGAAAACGCCATTCGCCAGCACTATTCCAGCACTATTTTTTGACGTATCATTTGTATAGAAAAAGTCAATATTTCACATACCTCCCATACAAAAGTACCCAAAAATCGATTTTTCAACTTTCGACGAATAGTGCTAGCGTCTCCGAACAGCACTATTCATGGGACCAATTGCAATCGACAGCACTATTCGAGCACTATTTTTTACATGTTATGGTTTACCAGCACTATTTCCGGGCGGTGCTGATGACATGTACCTCAAATAATTTGCGCAAGCCAATTTGCAGGTGTGTGTCAGTGTATTGAGATCGAGCTGCAAATTTATTTGTTGATTCTGTTTTTTCGTACGTTGTTGGTTTGGCCGATGATTTTCTTTTTAAAATTTTACGAATATCATTTATCATATATTCACAAAATAAACGTGTGATTTTGCATTAATATTAATTCCGAATTGGCCGTGCATATACCATCAAAATATCTGTCACGTCACTACTTTTTTGTTATTCGTTGTTCGAAAATTATATGCCCAATTTGTTCGTTGTGCGGCTTAGATTGTTATAGAAATTTTCGGTGCCGTGCATTTCCATAGCGATCGCACTCATGGCATGGTACACAGCGCATGGTGCTGGTTTGTTCAGTGACACGGAATATATGTGTTTAGCACATGAATGCAATTGCATGATGACAAGATCGGAACATTACTGAAGATTATGTGCATCTGAGCCACATGCAATGCATGCACAACGCCCAAAAATAGACTCGGTCGCATAACAACAGCATCAATAGAAATGAAAAAAAACACCGCGTTTTTGCAGAGAACATTTAATTAGCTTTAAGCATTTCGTAACATGAATTTGCTAAATTTGATACTGATCCATTGAAAATGCTTTCAAACACTTAATTGCCATGCGGTTAAATAGAGACACAACACAATAACTATGATAAAACCATCAATTTTCCTCTTTTGTCCAAACTTATCAATGCCTAATCATACACACACAGCGTGTTTGACACACACACACACACACATTGAACACAGAAAAAACAGAACATACATTTTTAAGCCATGCCAACAAGTTTTGTGCGTACCAATTACGCATGTTCACATTGTCATCATTAGTACAAAAAAAAACATGCATACATGTGCGTTTTTCTATCATTGTTTTTGTTGCATTTTTTTTCCTTCTGTTGTCTATTTCGTGTCTTTTCCTAATCAACGAACGAACAAACGGCGTAGAAAACAAATGTGCATTCTTTTTTTTATTTGTTTTTAATCTTTGGAAACGGAAACGAATTTAGCCGTTTTGTGCGCCCAATACATGTGCGCAACTGCAAGTTCTTATAATGGTTATGATGGTTAATGACTCAGTTGCGGAAATTGAATGTAGCCGCAAACACAAAATGTGGTTTCAACTCTATAAGCATCGAATTTTCGAATAACTACACCTAATTGGACAGTCGATGCGTGTATGTGTATGTGATTATAGCCATAAATCACTGACTTGCTAACCCAGAAGTGAGCAGAAAAAACTTTAACCCCGAATGAGTTACAACGAAAAACATTGGTTGAACGGTGCATTATGGTCACTGATGAGATGGATCATTGCTGCGACAACATCAAGATGAAAATTCCGCTATGATCTACGCCCAATCGCAGGAAAAGCGACACACACACAAAAAAATCCTATAAAATTAAGTATTTCAAGCTAGATTATGGCAACTTAATTCATGTCGGTAATTTTTTTTATGAAAAAGATCATTGGCGTATTTCGAAAGGAAAAGACAACACAAAAAACAGACATTTCGACTGTCCGGACATAAAAGCGTGAGTGGAACGCATGTATGTTATCATCACTGGATTAGAAAACAAAAGCCAAAAAGCATAAATGCATGCGAAAGAAATGTCGGCGTGTCGGTATGGATGGAACAATAGTTTTGACGCAGAAAAAAAACCAGTAACGAATTGTGAATCGCAAAAAGTGAGAAAGTTTTTGTATGCTAAACAGATACACACCGTGCACAAAAAGACGGCAGAAATGAAAAAAAAAATTAAAATCTATGTAACAACCATTGCCATAAGTGAATAACTGAACACTTATGGGTGTCGTTGGTGTTTGTCTCTCTCGCTGTCTTTTATTTCTTTTCCTCGACTGTTGAGTTTGGTGGGCCGGCGATGCGCGTGAAAATGCTTTTGTTTTATTGGCAAAAGACAGAGAGACGAGAGAGGAAAAAAATAGCAACATGCGCATTGCGCGCGCACATACCCATATTATCTTGTGAATGTTCCACCTGTACACCATACCGGAAATATGAAGTGTGTAAGTGCTGGCTTTTATTTAGCTATTTCGTGGTTGTTGTTGCTGTTGGTTTTTTCTCTCTTCTCGGTTTTTCTATGTTATTTGCTTTAAAATAAGCGTGGCCATATCGCCATTAGTCCCCATAATAACATTCAATAAAACACAATAACAACAATAATACACTTGAAAAATAAAACGAGTTGAAATAAAAGTCTTTCGATTAACACGATATTTTCGGCAGCCATTGTCGCCACCGCCAAACGTATTATCTTCAATAGTTACACTCCATTGAATTGTGAATTGTAAATTAATAATTATGACAGGCGAACGAAAAAACAAAAAATATGTATCGGGAATAATAGTTTCCCATTCAATTAGCCGCTGGCTGTTTACATTCGGCAAAAATATAGACAGAAACGAACGAACACGCCGCGCTGCCCAGAAGACAAATGTTACAAGACACACGAAACGAACGAAGAAAAAAAACAGCACCATTTTTGCTCGTTTTCTCAATGGATTTGTTAAAATAACGATCATTTTCATTGGGTAGAAAGCTCAAATGAGCGCACTAGGTGTTAACATCAACGTCATTGTACAACACGAACAAAAGTCCAAATTGTTTAATCGTACCAATTGGACAAACAATTGCCATAGCTAGATTGGGTCTGTTTTTTCCTGTTGCTATTGCTGTTGTTCCATTTTCGAAACGTGCACCCATCCAACATTTGATTCATTACACAAAGCGCAAAAAATACAGACTCAGAGAGAAAAAAAACAGCGTTCGACTCGACTAGAATTTCGTTCTTCCCCAATCAATTACTCATTTGTTCATTTATCCCCGATATTAGAGAGACAACCAGTCGAGTCACGAAATCAAGATGTTGAGCAATAATTTGTGTGTATGTGTGTGTGTGTGTGTGTGTGTCTGCCTCTAATGACTGGTGTGCATGACATCAGCACGAAAATGTTCAACTACGTTCGAATTGAAAAGGGTTAAATAGAGGACAAAACGGTTCTCGGTCGATTCAATTCATGACTTCATGGACTTTCTTCACCGTATCTCACCACAAGAATGGCTGCTGCTGCTGCTACTGAGTGGAGTGGCCGGTTTGGCTAGAAATCTCAAATGACACATGTCTCTAACACCAACTAATTCAATATTTGATTTGTATGTTTTATCCAATTCTACCTCAACTGGTGCGCAATCAATGAAGGAGAGACAATGAAAACGATTGAAGATTTTCGTAGCAATCACTTTGGATCGAGGTGAAATCAACCACACTGAGGGGTTCACATCGTTAGATCAAATTCGGCTTCAATTTAATGTAGGCTAATTTGATTATAACGGATAGTAATTGTTGTTCGCTTTTGTAAGTGGGCAGACTCTGACTGAGATTTGCCAGTGTTGTCATTGTTCTCTCGTTTTTTTTACGTGCCAAGCCAAAAAAAACTTTATAAATCATTTTTAGTTGTTCAATTTGATGGCAACGAAGGCGTATTCAAGGTAATTTGAACTTGTTATTTTTTATTGTTCAAATTTTTTGTTTGCGGAGATGGATGCCTGGTACTCTAACTGGTCGATTTTGCCGAAAAAAAAACGGTAATAATTTCGCTTTAATTTGATAATCATCATAATAAATTGCGCACGATCGAATTCCATGATTAGGGCAACTGTGAACAGCTGAGATTCGCCTGAGTGTGCCTGTGCATCTATGGCATCAACGGTGCACGATCGTGTTTGCGTGCACTATACGTTATTGTCATTTGTGCCATCGCGCGCGCGAGCGCCTTCGTTCGCTGATTTCCACGTAAAAATTGAGCATTGTTTTTTGTTTCTTCTCTTTGTTTCTAGTTTTTTTTGAGACGCGCAGAAACTTGAAATGCAATTTCAAGCACAGCAACAGAAAAAAAAAACAAAAGAACGCCCATGTACAACTCTATAAAAATGAATGAGAGAGAAAGAGAGAGAGAGAGAAGTAAAACTGCAGTCGACTGTTACTCATCTTGAAAAAAAACACATTCAAGATAATCGTCTACCATTCACTCGACACCAACGGTGAATTTAGTGCGCTCGAAATGTGTGTGTACTACTCCAGTAAATCCATTGGAATCTTGTGTGTGGCAATGCGTCGTCGTCGTCGTCGTCGTTCGGAACAGGAATAATTGGCAACACACCAAGTGTTACAATTCATAAAATAGCGAGAAAGAGAATGTAACGATCGTACGTATGCGATTGAAAGGTGCTAAAACCACGAATTTTCATAGCACACACTATAAAAAAAAGAGAAACGAAATGGCACCGATTGAACGAACGAGAGAAGAAAAAACTTATCAAGATAAATAGAATTGAGTGGAGAAGAGAAGAAACGGACGGGAGAAAAAAAATGAAATTTCTGGGCCAATTTAATATGCAAATTGTGCGGTATTGTGTTCATATATGTATAGTCTTCTGGCTTTTTCTTTGGATATTTCTGTCTCTATTTGCTCAACTGATCTCTAAATCAGTTTTTTCTGCTCTGTGTTCAACGTCAACATTTCTACAATAGCTTTCTCAGTCTCAAATATTGGTAAAAACCAAAGTGGTGCTGTTGCTACTGCTGAAGGTGATGATGTCTCTTTCTTTTGCACATTGCATTCACAAGAGGCGGCTTTTGCCACCTTTTTTTACCACACACAAATGATAGACACTCGACTAGTTCGACTGAAATGATTGTTTTTTTTTTTAAATATTAAATACAATGTACACGAATCAACTTTAATAAATAAAAAAACTGCTGTGCAATTTCCTCCTCTTTCATTCGTTCATTCTCTGGGTCTGCATGCATCTTGAATATGCATTCTCTTTCTTCAAATATCAATCTAATGCATGGTTGTGTTTGCGATGATTATTTCGTTGCAATGATGTGCGTTCATGTGTTTCATGCACTCACACAAACATACATTCGCATCGCCAAGTGGTTTGCACACTTTTCTATCCGACGATTCACGTAATAATAGAATGAAGCAAGTCACTTGCAATCAAATTTAACTACACTCTATCTTAAAATACGATGCACAGACAAATTCAATGACAAATCCGCTTAATTCAGGCATATTTTCACACACATACTTCCATTTGATTTACACCCTATTCAAGCACATTCGCTTGTTCCCTCATAAATTGATAAATGATTGGTTGTTTTTTTTCTTCTTGTGTTATCGAAATATTCAGTCTCTCTTTCGCGATTCGTTTCGAATCAAAGAGAAATAAAAAAACGAAAACCAAATCCGTTTTGAAAAGCAATTATTCGCTAGCTTTAAGATGTTGTTGGCTATTTTTAGCTCTAACTATTATTATCGAACCGAAGTATCGCTCCATTCATTGGAAGCAGAAAAAAACAACGATATTTCGCTTGTATTTGAAAAAAGAAACAAAAACAACAACGAATCGAATGGTTTGACGACGGTTTATATGATTTTGTTTTTCAACAGGCGAAACTACTAGGCACATAACATGTATATATATATATAAATACGAAAATGTCAATGATGCAAAGTAAGACTTACCGGTGGCGGTTCGCTGGTTGTACTGTACACTTCACTGGCAGCGTAATCGGCCTTGGTCATTTGTACAGTTGCCATTGAATCGTGTTGCTCTTTTTCCATCATAATCTGTTGATATCTCGCTCAGCGGGTTTTGGTATTCAGATGGTGTGTTTATGTATGTGTGTTTTTGTCTTGTTTTTAATCTTATTTCTTTTCGGCGTGTTTGGTTTCTGTTCTCTCTCTCTCTCTCTCTCTCTCTCTCTTCCTCTTCTATTTACTACTTTGTTTTCTTTTATCTATTAAATTTCCACAAACTGCAACAAGACAAAATGAGTTGCTATGAGTTATAAAAAAAATCATTTAAATGGTCCAACACAGTTTCCAAGCTTGAAATGGATTGGTTTTTTTCTTCTTCATTTCATCTTTCATGAGAATGATTTCGTTTGTTTGTTTTTTTTTTGTTTCCATGAAAAAATGCAATTTTCTTTCGTTTGTTCAAGAAATGGCTGATTCCGATTTTCATGGCTGCATCGTCTAGACAAGACGAGACAAAGGCGTCGTCTCATTTCGCTTGTATCTAGAACATAGACGAAAAATGTTTTCACACTTTTCTCGACTCATTCTATTCGGCAATATGCTCTCTCTCTCTCTCTCTCTCTCTCTCTCTTTCTCTCATCAATACGCCGTTTCTCATCTTATTTCGTGTTCATATCTATTTCCATTTGTCGATTGCTTCTGAAAGAAAATCTTCTGCTTCTTCTTCTTCTTTCAACCCATTGAATTCTCTAATTTGTGTTGCACACTTGATTGATTGCAACAAGAATTACGAAAAATTAACACATTGAGACGTCGCGAAGATCGCAATTGCAAATTATGAAGATCACCGGGCCAACCAGCAGGGTTACAAAAGCGTAACACACAGCAACTAACCAAAAAAATGGGAAATGTATAAATCTCACGATTCCAAAAGAGAACGAAAATTTCGAGACAAGCCCGTGCACCATCAAGCACCAGTTGATTTTGGGTTGATGCTATTGCACGCTTCTTCAATTGAAATCAACAGCAAAGAGTATTCAATTTCGTTGGTTCGTCTGTTGAAATGTATCGTTTAATGCTTTTGTGCCTACGGTAACCGTAAGTGGAAACTGTCGAAACACAACACAGCCGAAGTGAAATGAATTACACTATAATAGAAACTCAACCGAAACAGCAGCCGCAGTAGAAACAACGAAAAATTGAAGACACGACTCCCGTGCACACAGCGAGTAATGAAACAATCTTTTCGAATTTGTATGTTTCGCAACATGGAAGAATTCGTGTGGCCTCAACATGATAGTAATATCAGTGTATCATCAGCGATGTGTGTAAACAACGCTCGGAAATTATTCATTTTTTTTCTTTATTTAATGCGCACGATGAGAGCGGCTGACGAAAAGAGAAAGTCTGTATTAAAATGACAAATGGCCAAACACCGACCAACGACTTAGATGAGGATTTTGTTTCTAATAGAAATAAAATCGACAAAACTAAACCAGATGTTGATATGTTTTTCATCATCGCTGATACGTTTGGTCACAGCGTTTTTACATGAATTTTGTTGTACTTTCCGTTTTTTCTTCTCGTTCCATTTGGCCATTGGCTAAATAATTGACGAAATGTTCTCTCTCTTTCGAATTGAAAACACTTAAACGCTGATTAGCCTTGACTAAAAAAAACGGTGTAGAAATGTTGTAAATGTTGATGTAGCAATACTTATTGGTCGAGTTTAATTTTAAAAAGTTACAAGAATTGGGCAGCTGGAGAGAAACAAATCATTCCATTTTTGTTTTACATTCGACAGAAAAGAAAACCGATCTTTTTTTTTCTTAAAACAAACGAAATCAAACTCCAAATTGATGAAAACACAACTTTTCTAATTTTCAATGTTTGTCGCGCAAAACACAAGAGACCATCAACGAAATTCCATTTCTTTTTCATTGATGGCTCTTTTAGAAATTCGATTTGTGACAGAAAAAAAATTGTAGGTAGTAATCAACCAAACACTCACACTCACAAATTGAAAAAAAAAACAGTTAAAACTGACTTTTAAACAAGAAAAAAAAAATCTTTTTCAGTTTAAAAAAATTCAAACGAACGGAAAACTTCTGTCATAAACACAACAAAAACTCGATTTCACTATGAAAACACTCAAGAGTGGATGTTGGGCTAGTTTTGTTTATTTTTTTTAAAACTTCTTAAGTGGTTTAGCTTTTTTTGTCGGTTTTCGGAAAAGAGATTGCTCTTCGTTTACGTTCGTCCAATATAATAGTCACGAAACGTCTGCAGCGAATGATCAGAATATGAAATTTCGTTGGCAATATAACATTCGAATCGAAATCACTCTCTTATGCTTGTGTTAAAATTCTCCATTCGGTTTTTTTCTGTGGAACAAAGTTTTATAGTGAGCGGCAACGTATAACACAAGTAGCGGTAGATGTTAAATGGCTTATGGCTTTACAATAATAAATGATGTTGTTGTGGTGGTGGTGGCTGCTACTACCATAGCCGCTGTTGTTGTTATATGTGTACACGTGTGTGCGTATGAGAGTGTTGTTATGATCGTCGAGCCATTGCTTTCGGAGTGGGGCTTTGTTTGGCAAAAAAAAGCTAATTCCAGCTTTCCATATGTATATGACGTCGCACGATGCTGTATGTACACAAAACGGTCTGTGTGTGTCTCTCGCTCATCAGAACAGTGTTCAGTCTCCGTACGAAAATCAAATGAAAGACGAAAACGAATGAGACAACTGTTGACATTAGCTCAATTTTGTTGATAAAATTGGCTAATTTTTGTAGAAGAAAGAAAAATATACACACACATCCAATCTCATATTTACGATTCAAATGACCCATAATGTAAATACTCACTTCATATTTACTGATAACATATCACATGCATCCATGAATCTAGCTCGAACCAAATAGACAAATCAAAATCAACAACAGCGCACACACACACACACAGAGAGAGAGAGAGAAACATCACGCTCGCATAATCATATTCAGTTTATTTTAATCATTTCGCAATTGTAAAAGAGATTAGCATTAAATAAAATCTCTGACTGAAATGATAGGATCATTGTGAGTACAGCACTACGCTGCATGAATCACTCATTCATTGCATTTCGGTTTTCTTTTTTTCTTCTATTGATAATTGAGCTTTCTTCATACGGTGTACGCGTGCGCGCACAACTCTCACACTAAATAGCATAGACAATTTGGGATTTGCCGGGCTACGTTAGTGCCATTCCATCCATCGTTTCGAATTATTTCGCATTTAATGAATAAAACAAGCTTTTCCAAATGAACACCGATTAAGAAAACCGAAAATGAACCACCGCGCGCTCTTGGCAGAATAATGGCGTGTTCGCGCGCTCATTCGTACGCGCAACAAAGTGCTTGCCGATTCGACGTAAGACAATTAAAATATTTATGGTTCAGTTAAATTATATTGCCATAATGTAATTATTATAAATTATAAAGACTCGTACGAAGATGTTCTAGGACTCTCGGGCGCACACCACAACCACAAAAGAAGAAGAAAAAATGAAAGTTGCAAATCATTGATAATCACTAACGACAAACATATTTAAAATGTTAAGTCAATTAGCAGATTGAAGCTGCCACCATTTTTTTAACTTCCTATTCTTCCCTTCCATTCGGAGGAATTCAAAGAGAACAGCAAATTCCGGTAAATGGCGTTAAAAAGTGATCGATAATTCTGTAAATTGGCTTTATTTTTGTCACCTTTGACTTTTTTTTGGGGTGTATTTTTTGTGTTTGAAGAGACGAAGGCGCGCATGAATAGAGGAAGGTGCACACATTGCGGAATCAAAGGGAAGGGAGTTGAAATTTGAAGGAAGTTAAATTCAAACAGTTTTACTACGTTTATGACGAACTTTGATGACTGAAATGATGTTTTCCGATTTCTGCCATAAAAGTACCCAAGAGACAATTCGATAAAAAGAAATCGAGGAAATCCGCAAATATACAAATTCTGCTAGAACCCAAAAAAAACATCGACAATATATCACAACCAGAAAAATGGTTGAATTCCGCCCTTTCTCAATCTCTATCTCTGTGTCGAAAGCACAAGAGATTTGAGAAACAGAACAAAATACATCAATTAAATTAACCAAATACCCAGCATTCAAAATGTGAATGGAATGATTTATTCGTTTGGTTTTGTGCATACTGCACTCGATTCATTTAGACGATGGTTTGTATTTTGAACGAAACAAAGATTTGAAAATGGTTGTTGATTTTGTTTTGGTATTTCTATTCATTGCTTTTGCTGTGGCAAACTTTCTTTCTCTTTTGTAAAAGTATTATTTTCAAAACAATTCCATCATCATCATCATCGTCGCCGCCGCCAAATCGTCTCATATCAGGGTTGAGTAAACAGCGAAAGTAACGGTGTCAATCGCTCGCATTTCCAAAATGCGACTCATCCATTTTTAGCACTACATGAAATCTAGAGCTACTAATCTGCTTTTTTTCCTAGATACTTTTTGAGTGTTGAAACAAATTATGGTAAATTTGAATTTATGCTCATATTTTTTATTTAATTTATTTTTTAATTTATAAACCAGTGGCAGTAACGACAAAAAGGTGCATAATATCTCAAAGCGCCAATCAAATTTTTATTATCAAATGTTGTTTAAAAATTACATTAATTTTTCGTATAATATTTTCTGAGTCTTGAACAGAATTAAAGTGATTTTAGATTCTATGCTCATATTATTTATTTAATTTAAACCAAAGGCAGTATATTTATAAAAGAAATTAAACCAAGATCTTGTAATTCATTTTGCAAATAAATATATTACTTTAAAGGTACTTTGATGAAATACATTTCATATAGTGCGCCAAAAAAAAGTTTGTTGTAAAACAACAAAATAGATTAAGTAACTAAAAACTCAAGAACGCAGAGCGGAGCGAAGCGAAGCTCTGCAGTCTTGTTTTTTTCTCTTTCGAACAGAGCAAATGAACTTGAACGATCTTTGCAATACAATGATGATACAATGTTGAGTTGTTGCTGTTTTTTTTCATTTTTCATTTTCTCTATGAAACGATGTGGTTGTCAAGCCCTTTTTGTTTAATAAACAACTGCAGGCGATCGCGCTTTCGATTGAATAATAGAATGAAAAGAGGAGAGAGAGAGAGAGAGAGTTCATAATTCAAACGGAATCTTGTGAAAACCAAGTGAAAAACTTCGGCAATTTTGAAGCGTAATCGATCATGTCAAAAAATGAAACAATATTTACGTCTTTATTGTTACAAATTATTAAACGTACCAGTTGTTGTGTGAAAAAAAAAAACGAATGAACGAACAAAGAGACTTGGATTTCATCTGTATGCATTTCTTCCCTATCTAAACTCATTTTCATCGTTAATTGTGATACATTCGGGCGTCTTCATTCTAGTGGTTAGAACGGCTGTTTAAATGACTACGGTAAATATTGTTGCTTTCGTTTACTTTTTTCTTCTCTCTTCTTTCGTTCAATTCCTGGAAATTTATTCGAACAACCATTCACTGCTTAATACACGATATGACTGTGTGTTGAAAGCTATTCGTGTGATGACGCTGATATCGCATTATAATCAAAACTTTCCAGAAACCATGTGAGCGCTGCGAGTGTGACTCATAGTCGCAAGTGGTTCATCTTCTTCGTCTTGTTAATTTGGGAAATGAACACCGCGCTTTTTATCGCACATTCGAAACATTTGCACAAATGCACACCAATAAGTGATCAGTTTTGGCTTTTTACTTCATTTATCATTCATTAAGATGAAACGTTCACTTGATAGGTTTTTTTCGGTATTTTTCATTTTTAATAGTTTCTCAAGAGTGATGAGCTGGGCGAACATTGTTTTGTTAAAAAAAATACATAAAACAAATATTCCTAATGAGCGAAAAAGCTGATACAGAATGAATGAGATGGACTTTGAAACTGTAAACAAAACAAGAATCATGGATGATAGACAAAAAAATAGTTTGTTTCACGATCGGCCGAATGACATTCACCGTGAATGTCAAATTTGGATTGGATGATACACAACAATCAGATTGCTGAAAAATTGAAAAAAAGTGTCGCATAGAAAATAGTACAAAAATTCTATTCACTAGTTTTATCTCGCTAATATGTCAGTAGTCATTTAATTGAGCTTCATTAAGTTGGTGACTGCCATAGGTACCATCAATCGTGGTCCAGCTAATGTCCGTGTTTCCTCTGTTAAAAGATTTTATAAGTCGTTCCAATAATAATTTCGTATGTCTTTTGAAATGGTAAGAAAATACAATCGGTATCGGTATGTACAAAATTCCCTTATTCAGAATTTGATTATCTGTGTTACAATTTTTGGAAAAGAACATCAACCCTGATACATGATTAATGAAAGTCGATTTAATTAAACTGTTTCGAATTTTTCTGTGGATTCGTGTTTCGATTTCATCGAATCAATTGTTGGTATTCCGAATGTTAAAAGTGGTTTCCTGTGCGAAATTTTTTTTGACTGACAAGTAAACCATACCAACTGTCACAAATGGATTTTAAAATTGAATATACAGATCGATTGGGGATGGAAAATTTTTTTTGACAAAAGGGCAGCGGCCCCTTTTGCGGCATAGTGGGGATAGACCCACCCCCTTTTCCTAAACTTCGTCTGATCAAAAAATGATGTATGTCAAAGTTGTTAAGAATGACGAGGAGAATTTTTTGATGCAGCCGCCCTTCCATTTTTCACCCCCCTGGGGGGTTGGAGAGGTCTCCTGCCCAGGGGTCACACGTTTTTGCTGAAATTGAACTTAAAGGTGTCAACGGACAAGCACCTTGTCCGTCCGTCCGTCCGTCCAGGGCTCTTGAATTTTTTTTTTGTCCGTCCGTTCAGAGCCGCTTAAAGTTTTCTTGTCCGTCCGTCCGTCCGTTCTCCGGACGGACAAGAAAATTTTAAGCGGCTCTGAACGAACGGACGGATGGACAAGAAAAATTTTTGGGGGCTCTGAACGGACGGACGGACGGACGGACAAGAAAATTTCTGAGGGTCCTGAACGGACGGACAACTAAATTTACAGGGTTCTGAACGGACGGACGGGCGGACAACCAAATTCAGAATGCTCTGAACGGACGGACGGACGGGTGGACGGACATGCAAAATTCTCATACAATATTTTTGACGAAAAAAATTTCTAGAGCCCTGGACGGACGGACGGACGGGCTAAAAAGACGGACAGTCCGTCCGTTTGACACCTTTAATTGAACTGGCAGAAATCGCCCCACATCTGGGGTCAATTATTACAGAGTCAATTTTCTACCTCTTGAAGTGGAAATTTTGCATAAAAATGTATGACCAACTATAGCTCATTTGTTCTGGGCTATATATTTTACTCATGGGTCAACCCCTCCAATCCCTTCTTTTGGGAGTCCCCATACAATTTTATTGAAAAAAAAAAACTATTTTTTTCTGTATATCGGGTCAAAAAAAACCCTTCACTCCCCGAACAAATTACATTTTTGAATTCCTCGTGAAATTGAAAATTACCCTTAGGTTTAGAACATTTCCCATCAAAAAAATCGTCCCTTATGCTCTAAACCAAGACCGGAATGCATGGGAAGGTTTGGGGTGCGATTTGTTTAACATCCCGGCTTTAAATTAGGGCATAAGGGATGATTTTTTTATGCGAAGTGTTCTAAACCTAAGGGTAATTTTTCACGAGAAATTCAGAAATGTAATTGGTTTGGAGGGTTAAGGGGAGTTTGACCCTATTTTGGGGATGCATTGGTCATTTTTCGCTATTTTTTCACTTTTTGACCCTCCATTTCATTTCAGGGGTAGAGGGCAGCTCCACCCAAGGTGTCATTTGATTCTCTGGAGTATCCTGAACATTTCATATCGACATATTCTTTTCCTCAAACCATTGAGAAAATTTCATTTCTATGTAAAAACCATCAGACGAAGCATTGTAAAGAAGGGGCCATATCCCCACTATGACCCAAAAGGGGCCGCTGCCCTTTTGTCAAAATTATTTCTTTTCATTCCCCATCGATCTGTATATCCAATTTTAAAATCGACGTATGACAGTTGGGACGGTTTACTTGTGAGCAACCAATCCATTATGTTGGGACTAAAAGTGACAATTCAGTACAAAAACAATGATCACGAGTTGACTGGAGTCAAAAATATCCCGGCTAAAATTTAATCGTAGTCGGCTATTTTTCATACAAATCATCTGCTCATTTAACTAAAGTCGCTTATTAGTTGATTTCAATTAGAGTCATTCAGTCATTTATTTTCCACACGGGTTACTATCAAATTTTATTCTATCGTGTTCACTTCTGTTTCGGTTTAATGAAGTAATCAACGATATTCCGCATGGATATTGACTGCGTTAGCACAGACACGGAATCTAACAGAACATTGGTATCTATGATATTTCATTGAAGAAGAAAAAATAGCGACAAAGTTATCATTATTCATGAAACTTTCATCACCTCTCTTTAGAAGTGATGTCCTAATGTTTACGGAACAGAAATAACCCCTCTCCGTTTCCACCTAGCTAAGCTAGAACAGAACAAAGCAAATACAAACACGGAACGGAACTGAGTGGACCAATGATAGTCACCCACCTCATTAAATTATAGTCGGACTGTAAGTAAATGTTTTTGTCATATTTACACAGACATGTGAACCATCTCCTCTTTGCAAACGACACAAATTTGTGTTTGCTCTCCCCTCGCAGACGGCGCTGTATGTTTTTAATTTAATCAGCGCTTTTATTGTGTTCCATGCCATTTTTCTCTCTCACTCTCTCTCTCTCTCTCTTTTCCATCGAAAACAGACAAAACTCATGCAAAAACAAAAATGTTTTGTTCAAGAAACGTGCAAAACTACTAAATAGATGATCGTTTTTTGTTTCGCGCTTCTATAATAAGTCCGTAGAGTGGTACCTACAGACTCCAGTCGTGCTGCTTCAATTATGTACTTATTAATAACGCTTTGCTCAATGAAATTTATTACTTGTTATCTGTGTAGCGTTTGCCCAAGTTTTGTTTTTAGTTGGAAAACCAAACAGAAAGTTATCATAACCGTTTTTCATGTGAAAACCGTCAGCAACTACATAAATATGTGTTTCTTTCGACCAAATGGAATTTGGTATGTTTTACGATGCACTTTTCCCTTCTATGCCACAAATCATGTAATTACCGGAAAATTCACCACAAATGACTGTGAATTATCAGTTATGTTCGAAATTACAGTCACTGGCCACAACAATTAGATAATGATCGTCATACGAACGAGTATTTCTCCTTCTTTCTATTGCTCTCACCCTCTCTCCCTGTTTATTTCTTTCGTACTGCGATAAAAGCCTATATAAACAATGTTATTATATTTGACAATATTTGACTCGATGTCAATGACGATGTGGCAGCGCCACCTATAGAGATTCCTTATTAAAATAAGTGGAACTATTGAGTGCGTGCACCATATCGCACGTAAATTTTCAATATGGCAGCGCCCATAGAATTGAAAAGTTAACCGATTTCATAGTCGCAAATTATCGCTGTACGATTTCTTTCTTCCTATCTATCTTGGTCTCGCTTTGTGTGTGTGTGTGTGTGTGTGTCTCTTTACTGGGAACATTCTGCACACGCGAAACCGTGCATGACAATTAATGGAAACGTATTCAATTTGAGTGACTTTTGAAAAGAAAACAACTCACAATAACGGAAGTAAGTCTCAGATGCAAGCACAATATTGATATCGATTAAAAATAAAATAACAGATACGAAAACAAAAATTAAATCTGTTGCTGCCAGTAAAAACGTAGCTGAATTAAATTCGATAGATTTACATAACGTGTCAATCAGTTATTTTTATAATCGATGGGTTTAAACAAGTTGCGAAGTTTCGATTGTTATCAAACGCCAACATTTTGCAATGTTATACAATCGCTATAATATGGGCTAAAAACAACAATCTTATGGAACCTTGTCAACTCGGAAATACTTACGAGTTACATTTCTTTGATTGGCAAATTTTAATTGAATTCTCTAGCTCAATTAGTAGACTTACGTTTGTTTGGGCAATAGAAAGCACGAGAAAAATGAAAAATTCTCTAGAAAACAGCATAAAAATCAAAATGGATTTGCAAGACCCTCCAAGCCTGGGACTGAGGCAGAGTTGACCTAATGGAAGATGTTATTGGGTTAGTTTAATAATATCATACCAGTTCAAGATAGCTGAAGATATCGGCCGAGCATGCAAACCCAGCAAACTGAGAGTATTGCATTTGCGGTACGAAATAATATATAATTTTTGTAAAAAGCCGGTCATTTAATACGTCAATTTACTTCAACACATCCGTAAAACAAAATAAGTTCATCTTCTTCCTTTTTTTTATCAAAACAGCAAGTGGAAAAACAGCTATCGTTGTGTAGCCAATTTTTCATTCTCGGCATTTATCCTCAGTTACCTCGCATTCACTGTTTCATACTACTACTTAGTAGTGGCCGGAAATCCAACTTTCAATTTACGTTTTTTGCAATAGATCATAAAACTTTCGCGTAGACATATATATATATTCTGTGGGAATACTTACCGAAAAAAACAATAACTTTCCTGCTTAATCCGCTGAGTTAAGCTAAAGCCGATTAGCTCAAAATTGAATTAGTCGATACTTTTTTCATTAAGCTTCTTGGGCTTCTTATGCCAATTATTTTGATCAAAATGATGATGTAAATAATCGTTTGTATGTGTATTCAAAGAAAAAGACGAAAACGAAAAAAAATTGCAAATGACAGAGCTGTGAATTCAATTGAAATTCGTCTACGGGTCACAAGACATCGGTTGATCAAGGGCAATTTGATTAGCAAAACACGTTCATTCGACCGAAATTTTTATGATGAAATGATATTTATTTTATTGTTGTTTTCTCTGAAATTCATATATGAATTTCCATTCAATTCAGTGTGTTACACTGCATATCGAATGTTTGTTGTCATTTAACTTTTGTATGTATGCTACGGACCCGATGCTACTATGCCAGTAGAATACGTAGTTTCCAGTTCAATAGTAGCGATAATAGAATGGGCATGTTCCATCTAATAACATGCATTTTCGGAAACCCGTTTGGAAAATCATTCCACATGATTTGGAGAAACAATCGTTGTACAACATCGTCTTGATCAACAACCATCGCTATTCAATCAAAAAAAAAATCCGTCGATTCTGTCATCGATGTGAAAAATTGAATACATAGTCGATAATTAGCTTCGAATTCCCATCGTAAAACCTCCTCATAAATTCGCATGACATCCAATCGAGAGACGAACGAGAGTAGAAAAAATCGGCGCACCACATAGACAATTGACTTGATATATTCCTAGATTTCGACACGTTTCTAGAAAAAATCATTGAAAAGTGTTGTACTTCCAACGAAAAAGATTCACGAACTCACTTTTCACTTCAATTCAAGCGAGAAAATAGCTCTGAAACACTTTTATTGTTTCAAAATCCAATTTCAATTGTAATGTTCATTTGAAACAAATTCCATTTACGTTCGAGCTTTTAGAAGCTCAATATTTTCATCATCATTTTAATTGGTGAGAAAGACACGGAAATTTTCTGAGTTTAGACCATCGAATCGATGCTGAGTGTGTTAACGATAAAGCTCGATAATGTGATAGACAGTGACATCTAGCGAAACACTTTCAATCAAATTTATATACAAACATTTCATTCTCAACAAACGACTTTTTTCCATTTTATCAAACGACTCGTTTTTTTTCATTCGCCCATGCCATTTGATAGTGAATTTTTGTTGTTTTTTTCCTTCTCTGCTTGGCTTTATTTTGTTTGCATCGCAATAATTGTTTGCACGTTTCGATGCACTTGACTGTAATTGAAGGAAATAAACAGTCAATCACAGATAGCTGAGGATATATGCTGAGTATAGAAACTCAGCAAGCTGAGATTCGGATATTTTGACTTTGTGACGTGCTATTCAAACAAATTTATGATGGAGAGGAGTTTGGAACACATTTTCCATTACACTCCATCAACACTCCACCAAAATTCCACATAAATTTACACGAATAGCAAGTCACAAAATCCAAACGTCCCAATCTCAGCTTGCTGAGTTCCTATGCACAGCATATATCCTCAGCTATCTGTGATTGACTGGAAATAAAAAACGAACGTCGAATAATTTGAATTAGTTAACATATGACGTTCATTCCCCTGAATCATTTTGAATTGTTATCATCAATCTGTTTACATATGGAAAAAATAAATAAATTCTACATAAATTATTATTATTAGCTCTACGAACTACGTACGGCTTGAATTCAAAGTCGAATTTTCGATTTCAGCCAATCCAAACTCATTGATTTGTGTTAGTGCACTTGCAGTTTTTTTTCGGTTTATTATTGTTGCCGTTGCTTGAAAGACAAATGACGTCGTTTAACAACCCATAACTCTATTTACTAGAGACGATGAAACGATGAATTTGTTTGTTGTTCGTTCTTTTACGATGTTGATTTTCTGTCGGACATAAATGTTTCATTACATTCAAAATATAAAATAATTTTCATTCAATTTTGCGGCTGGAAAATATGATGATATTTGGAATAACAATGCGAATTTGGGTAAATTTTCGTTGTAATTGGTGTCGTTTACAAAAATTGTATGTTTCAGTTCCAAAATTTGAAAATCATCAAAAGTTGTAGGTTCAAATCTGCTTAAGAAGTTTGGGGAGAGGCAATCGAACTCTTCGATTCAATAGAACAAAAGAATTCTTGAAAATAAATAAAAAAAATAACTGAAAAGAAAAGAATTGGGGCAACATTAGACCAATTCATTCCATTCGATGCATTCTTCATAATTTCTTAGTACTAAGAATTACTTTTAAGTATTTAAAAATAAAAAAAAGCAATCAAAAAATTGTCTACGCTCCTTCTTTTGGATATTAAACTTCATGAAGTTATGAATATAGCTTGATATGAATAATTAACACATGCATGAAATCAGGGCGAATATTTTCTCCATTTCGATTCAATGCGGCAATTTTAGCGTGGAAAAAAAATAAAGAATTGCTCTGTGTTTATCAGCGTCCAACAGTTTGTTGGTGGTTTTGTAAAAAAGAGTGTGTGTGTGTGTTTTGCGGGCTAGCATGGCGCATGCACCCTACACACCGTACACCACCATTATTGCCGCATACTTCACTATTTATATTTCGAAATTGATATAGTGAATTTGACACTTTTTTGTTCACTGCCGTGAATTGCGGCTCTAGAAATAAGCGAAGTAAGCGATTGTCGTACAAAATTTTTGTTCTGCCTGGTTTGCAGCGAAAAATTATTTAGTTAGTGAAAATCAGCAACACGAAGGGACTAAAATGTTTCAATCAATAGTTGACAGTTTTCTAAAGTGGGAAATTACACAAATTCTTCTCGTACAAAAAGTGTGAGGTTTTTTTTTGGGTACATTGTGTTTTGTTCCGAGTAATTGATGCAATTGTATTTTGTTGTAGATTTGAACCGGTCGAACCATATCTAGAGCTAGTGAGCTATGTGACAACCGCTCGTTTTATGCACACATACTTTTTCCCAATCTTTCTGGTCTTCGGCGTAAGGCAATATGTAAATATAATGATTGCAGCAATCACATCGCATATCAGTGTCATTCTCTTAAAGTGGATATTGGCTGGAACGCGGCCGTATTGGTGGGTCAATGAAACGGATATATTTACAAATTTAACGCGGCCATACGTGCGACAAACATATCTTACATGCGAAACAACGGCCGGAAATCCATCGGGACATGTTATGTTCACCGCATCGATTTTATTCTTTGTCATTCGAACGATATTCTATCAATCGCCATGGTTTCGACGCTATTTGAACAAACCGTTCAAGTATTTCTTGTGGAATGTATACGTTGGCATTTTGGGCTTTGTATCCATTTCCCGAATGTTTTTCGCTTGCCACTTTTTCCATCAATGCGTACTGGGCAGCTGCTTCGGCATTACAATCAGCCAATTTTTACAGCATCGAAAAATCAATCGATTCATTACGGAAATAGATCGCGCAAAGGGATTACTGTTGGGCTTTGCCGTTTTGATACTATGCATCTCCGTTTATTATGCACATTTTATTATAGCTCGTGACCCACAATGGGCAGTTAAAAAAGTAAATATTTGGTATAAATAATACTAATCGACCCCAAATAATAAATTTATTGTTTTGTTCGTGTTGAATAGGCTTTCAATTGGTGCAAAGACCCATACTACATTAAACCCGAAACAACACCTATCTATTCACTGGCCCGTGAATTCGGAATCATGTTTGGATTGATTCTTTGCTCACCACAAGCAAAAAGGTACATTGTTTACTTGTGCAGTTCAAGTGACATTTGGCATTGTGTGACAGCTCGATTTTTATTTGAAGCATCATACTGTTTACAACGCCATCTCGTCATAAATAGAACCACTTTTGCTGACGACTGAAACTCTTATTTGAAATACTGTTTACTATGTGTTTCAACAGGTTCAACATTCAAATGGATGTTAAGTGGAGTTTGCCAGCCGTTATTGTCATCACATGCATCAATAAGTACATTCTCAGTCAAATACCACGATGGAATGGAGCGCTCATTTTCTACTCTGCCACATTTGCGGCCAATCTAGCATTTGTTATGCTTCTTTTGAATATCGTTCCGTTAATCGCTCAAAAACGTAAAATTAAAGATTAAATCGGATTTGATTCGGGCTCAATTACTGATGACAAAATACTACAGACTGATCGGACATTATTTATTCCCATAAATAAGACTTAAATAAAATTTGCACAATTTTCATTGGAATTTTTGCGCATTTAATTTTTTTCGATTTGAAAAATTAATTTTCTAACAGATTTTAACGAACAGATTAAATAACCACATTTTCAATTAAGAAATTAAAAATAATTTCCGCAGCTTACATTCTTCTATGTAATTTACTTGGCTCATTTGCTTAGATGTAATGTGCGAAAACCCTCAATAAATTGCTTGAAAGCCTTAAATGATTGAAATAATTGAGAGAAAAATACGATATCAAGAATTCAATCGAAGTGTTCATTTCTTTTTTACCACAGACGTTTTTTCTCGAAGCTCTTTTTTCTTCGGCTTTCATCTGGTTTCTCGTTCAATGCGTGTCGGTTTGGTTCTGCGTTTTACGCACATTGTTTTTGTGTGATGTTGTTTGTTTGTCTCTTGTTGTTGTCGTCGACTGTTGCTGTGCACTCTTCAGCCCCGGTTCTCGTTCTCTCTTCCATATTTCTCGCCGAAGCTGTGACACAGTTTACGTCTCATTTTTTCTTCTAATTGTGTTCAATCCATGTACTTTTTTCATATTAAGCCATATAAATGCTCGACGCACTGCACGGCAGAAGAGGCAACATGCAGCGAAAAGAAAATGTTTATGGCAACACGCAATTTGACCATGAAGCGATTATCAACAGTTCATGGTTTTTCTTTTGCTCTGCCATTCTTTCTTTTGGCTTTCCATTTGTTTTTATATGTCCTTTCCGACTTTCTCGCTCTACGAACATGGCATGTGGCTGTGACTATATCAAATGTTTCACAATGAAATCTATTGAATGTTCGCACACAAAAAATCAGTTTTTCGGTTGAACTTGCGTTTAGTGACCACTGCGAATGCTGGTTTCGGACACATTTCTCTCTCTCTCTCTCTCTCTCTCTCTCTCTCAAGTTTTCGGCTCTCATTTGTCACTAAGATGAAAAAAACAAGTAAGAAATGCATACGAACAATCTTCCTGTGGCACAAAAAGTGGTAGTTGCTCTTTCTCACTCGTTTATAGTAGATTGTGAATAATTTATTTTGTTGTAATGCGCAGGGTGGCTGACTTTTTGGGAATCATCGCTGTCGTGATTTTCAACGCATTCTTACTTCAACTTTTTTCGCTTCATTTCAAAGGCGGCCCCATGAGTTTTTCACGCATAGTGTAGAAATATTAAAAAAAAGTCACAAATTCGATAACTTGAAATCATGTCCTTTGACGTTCTGGCAACCGATTGGCTGTTTCATTATTGTTCTAAATTTTTTGAAATTTACAGATAAATGAATGACTCTTCTTCCTCAGGAGGATTCACTAAGCGAAATGTAGAATTTATTCACGCTACGAATGCTAAAAGAGAAACAGATGATTGATGTTTCGATAGAAATTGTTGAGCTTTTATTCAAATCATAATTTTTCAATGATTTAAATTCATTGGTTGATATCATCGAGCCGACTAATTATTTTCATTCAATTAAAGCTAAAATGCGATCGAACATTTCGAGTTAAGGTGAAAAAAACATACATTCAAATTACAAAAACATGTAAGTACATCCCATCCCACTTCATAGGGCTATGAACCAATTTATGACTCTTTGCATTTCTCTTAAATATTTCAACCTTTCTTCGGTGCTAGTTGACAGAGAAAGCCTTTAATGCACCAAAAACTGGCTGCATACGGAAAGCGTATGCAGAAAAGCAGACAAGGGTTCAGTTTTTCATGGCAACTAATTGTTATATGACACCAAACGCATAGCGAAGAAAAGTTTTTCTCAGTTTTCCTCTTCAACACCAATACGTAGTTGATCATACTCATACTCCTTTCCATACATAACCAGTTTCTTCTTTCTCTTTTTTCCGAAATTCTTTCTTTGCTTTTTTCGCTATTCATGATCGCTTAGTGCGTCGTAAGCTAACAATATCGTTTTATGGCGAGGGTCTCAAGCTCATATTTCTTCTCCTTTTCCAATACCTCCACTCTTTTTTATGGCAGAAAGGCTTGGCGAAGGAAAAGGAGAAAGAAGAAAGGAGACAGAAAAGAGTGAAGGCGAATGAGTTAGAACCTGGGTGGAAAAGAGTGAGCAATTGTTGTCGTTTGGGACGACCATTAGTGCCGGTTATGCTCGTCCTCAGTGCAAAGAGATTCGGAACACACGACGAAAGGTTTTCATGAATAATGAACGAAATTTATACGTTTATGATTTTATTTCACGCCATTCACCTCCGTTTTTCCATAGAAGCATCACACACTCACACACGCATTCTCGCATCGCTTTTTGCATGGCTCCTTTTTTCGCACCATGCACACTTTTGGCTGGGTGAAAATTCGTTTCATTTTTATCCCATAATTCTCGATAATTTCTTTGCAAATAAAATCCGTTGTTTTTTTTGTTGCGAAATGCAGAAATTTATTGTTCGTTCATTGCTTTTTCAAACCTTTTTTTCAGAATCGTAAAACGGTGCCGTTGCTAAATTGATAAAAAAGACAAAACAGTTTACAGTTTTCTACTGATTTTCAATGAACTTGTGTTATTTGCAGGAACTGTGCAAAATGGTTGCTAACGTTGTAACGGATAGCCAAATCTGTCCCTGATTCGAATGCCGTTGCTTTTTTATGAGTTTTTTTGTCTGATTTTAATGCGCATTTTTCATCGTTTAAAGTTGAAAAGTGCAACATTTCGCCAATGTTGAAACGTACGAAATGCATCGCATGTGAAACGATACTTTATTCTGCCCACTTTTCTGTCAATAGAGGTCATCAGAACTAATCTATGGAACTATTTTTGGCATTTTCAATAATTTTGTGTTAAATTTAGAATTGAGTATGTTTATTTTTTAGTTTTAAATAAAGGTGAGTATATTCTTCAATTCCTCTTTTTATGTAAAAGAAGAGCATACTTATCAAGGTTTTGATGCTCATATTATCTGCGTTACTTGTTGTGATATTTCGCACAACTCCTAAGAGATGACCTGTAATGAAGGTTGAGAACAACACTTTGCTGAAGGCACTCATTCGTCAATTCTATTTCTTGCGAAGAAATTAACTATCACTCTGAAATAGAGACTGAAATAACTTGATCTTCTGCCGGCATTCGGATCTTCTGAACGGAAAAATGCTGCTCTAGTTTTAAATTACGGACCCTAAGAAATTTCAAATGAAACAAAATTTATGCTCAAAGCACGCATACAAAATACTCTTTGATAGAACATATTACAATAAATTGGGGAAAAATTGAATTTCATTGCACATCATATGGAAATATTCGGCTCGCTTCGCTCGTCATACAAACACAAAAATTATTGGTCAAGATATGGGATATATCAAATTCGTTATCGCAAAAACTGTTCTCTTTTTCGAATTCTTCGTGTGCACCTGCATTCTGAAATTCGTCAGCTTTTCAAATTTTAATCGTTATTTGAAACAGTTCTGCGTTCACATAATAAATTCTCTCTTTGAAGACTTCGGTTGGAAATCGAAGTTGAATGATTGAATATCCTAAAACACCGATTGTGAAGAAATCGTGGCACTAATGTGCTGAGACGGCATTCATATTGAAAAAAATAATTCCAAAAATCGGCAATAAAATTGTGGATGAATGATAAAAATCAATGGGGAATATTTCAAACATTTCATTTTGTTTTATTGAATCTTTCAAATACAATGAAACTAATCTATAATTCAGAGTTTCGTTTTGTTTTTTTAGATTGCGATCGGAATTTCGGATCTTCTGAACACAATTTATCGCGTTTTCGGATCTTCTGATGAAAATTTCTTATTTCAGTCTCTGGTCTGAAAGTTACAGTTTCATTCAATAGCAGAGCCTGTGAATTTCACAATGTAAAAACTTTTCTCTCAATTTTACTCATAAATATACACTCATCGGAAAAAATCAAATCACAACATTTTTCTCGGACTAAAATAATAAAAAAAACTAATCGATGTTTTTTTTTAATTATAAAGAAACAGAAGCATTTTGATCTCAGTGTTGGCTTAGACCAAAAGGTTGGTGCGAACGTCTACTTTTTACATGTGATCTTTGTGTGCTTTTCAAACTTTCTTTGGACAGCTTGTGAACGGGTTAAGAAAGAGTTGAAAGAGAAGAGTTCACGTCAAACACCTTCCGAAAAGGGTAATAATTGCAGTGCCATAATTTTTGCAATCATGCGCCAAGAAAGTCATTTAAACAAAAGCAAGGCAGTAAATGTAGTCCGGCTTAAGTTTTAATCTCGTTTCCATGTTCAATTGAAATAATTGCTTTTTCACTGAAGCCACACAAAGAGTCGCAAAGAATGCGAAGAAAGCGAACGGTAGCGCATAAAATCAGTGCTGGTTTCACAGAAGAAAAGCAACGAAAGAGTTATTCAAATGGCCTCCGATGCTCTGCCTCAGTTTACTGCCGCTGTAAAAAAGAAGGGTTAAGCTTCGGTCAAACACCGACGCATTGGACTAGTGCGAGTAACTGGATTGGTTACTCTTTGAACGGATAATCCTATCAAAGTAATAATTTTTACCTCTCTCGCAGTGCCGCAGGAACAGCCGGCCTGCAGGACAGTCGGTGGTAATTTCATCGGAATCGAATTAAAAACGAGCATTCAAATGAGTTACTAATTGGATTGAACAAATGACAAAGCCAAGGGGGAAAGTACTAGATTTGTATAATTCAAATAATGCAATCTAGTACAAAAATAATCCCAAATAATCCTTCGGAATTCTCAATAATGCTATTCATAATATCAATAAATAACAGCGAACTATGGTCAAGTAATTGATACTTGCGTGCATTTGAATGCCTTGAAAATAAAGTGGGTCGATAGTAGATATGAATTGGTGAGACCTAGAGGAACACAAGTTTGTCAAACGTCGTAGCAATAAAGAGAAGTATATTTTACTGCAACTAACAATGGTTGAAAGAATGTATGTTCATTTTTGGCGGATCGTCCTGGTTTTTCACGGTTTCTAGTACTTTCCCCCTTGGACAAAGCGAATGGAGTAAGCAGAGATTGCTCGTTTTGCACAGGTACCAAGGC